TTAGGCACCAAAAACAACAGTAGACAGGGCTACTTCATTCATACATGATGAAACTCCTGGTGTTGCAAAAAAAATCAAAGGATTCATTGTATCTAGTCGACCATCCATCTATGTACATGCAGGAATATGTAAACATGCTTAAAAACGTTTGATTTACTCGCCAAACACGGGCCCGTATTCCGACGCACCCTCAAAATCAAGACTACAATTTGCGGTTCGTAGTCTCTGGGTTTGGTGATGGGGTCTCATGTTTTCGTCTGCGGGCTTCACGAACTCCCAGTATTTGTCACTAGCTTTTCGATTGACCCTAGATGTCCCTCGACGGCAAGTCTCGTGCCAGCAGAAGCTTTCTTCTCGCGGTGTAAGCATCTGGAGTTTCACGCTTCGCAGTCGCGAGCGCCAAACACTTCGGCGTCGCGCAAACTGAGCTAAAAGCGCGCTACTTCCCAGAGTTGGCACAGCACCACCTGGTCTTAAGGGCACACGTGGCCTGGTCAAGATCTCCTCGGAGGATGCCCTAGAAGCAAAGATCCGTCCTTCTCCGGATCTCTCCTGCCTCATGCTGTGGGACTGCAACGTTGCGCTACGATCGAAATGCATCGACGAGTGGCAGTTGTCAGGCCTGGGTGTGCGTGGAGCTGTTGCCTCTGACATGCCCGAGCCTTCCAAACTGATGGCCTCGCTTCGATCGCTTCGCTTCGCACCGAGTCGGAGTACTGGGCTTCGGGCTGAGGGAGCTTCACCGCTCAAGTCGGCTTCGCTGCACATGATCCTGCTCTACACGATTTCCAGCCATATGGAAACGTCATCCCGGACCTGGTGCCGTCCTTGTGGCTTTAGATCGAACGAACCAGCGAATCAGCAAATCGTGTGCTCGGGCCCATCTGGAAGCAGATACCATTGCCTCAACAAAGCAACATCTAAGCACGGCGTCTCGGCCCCGAGCCCGAATCCTGCAGGGCAATGGAGGCCCGGTTCAGGTGGTCCTTCACTTCTCGGGACGACGGTTTTGCACACCCGTCAATGTGCATTTCACGTGCGAGCCTCTCGCATGGACGACTCTCGGGCACGCGAATGCCAAAACCAAAGCGCCTGGACGATTGCCTTGGCAGCGTCGGACAGCGACAGGAAAAAAAGGATCCCACGCTCAGGGCTTGGCCAGCTTCTGAAGGGCTTCTTTGGCCTGCGGATCAAAGCCAGGTCGCTTTGCTCTCTTCGGCCACCCCCGAGGCTCCTCTCTGACACGGCGCCGCTGCATCCTTTTGCTCTGGACCACCTCAGCGTGCTTTCTGCTTCCGGCATTCGCTGGATCTCGCGAGCGCCTGGCCTGGGTCCAGAGGGCGAAGAGGCGGCCACGCGTGGGGCCCTCGCGGCCATCGCGCCTTTTGTTCCGGGCAATTTGGGTAAAAGAGCCCGAGCCCGACAAGACGCCACTGCCTCCAGGATCCAACACCTTTGGGAGTCCCCAAAAGCTGAGAAGGAGGAACTCTCTTTCCCCCCTTTTTGGCCTAGAGCTTCTGACTCTGAGGCCAGAGCCGACCATCAACTCTCGCGCACGACGCTCATTGAAAAGATGACCTCTTTGGAGCAGCTCGGCTGCTCGCACCGTCTCTACAAGAGTCGCTGAAAAGATGACCTCCCTCCCGAGCCTACTATGCGGTTCCATTTCCGGAAACTGCCGAGCAGGGTGCTGTGGGCCTCAAGCTTCGCCACGGAACCCTGACAGTTGAAATACTGCCATACGCTGGAGGCTGGGCAATCGGCGGCAAAAGCTTTGGCCGCTTTCAAACTTTGCCAGCTTCGAAGGGTGACGCCAAGACGTCGTGTCTTCCCAGGCTTGCACATTCTTGCATCGAAAGTCTAACACAGCGGATGCCTTTGCCCTTTGCCGACAAATCGCTTCACGAGCTTTTAACCTTGCAGAGCCACGCAGTGGGAGCCTTATCATGGCCACTCGACAGGGCCGGCCCCACACGGTGGCAATGCCCCACCGCTGCCAAGCCTGGATCAGGGGGGACAGGGGCACAGTGAAGCTCTTTTGTGCAGAGCTAAGCTGCTGCCAAGTTGCGGATCTGAGCGTGTGACTATAGCCTCAATGTTTCGAAGGGCTCCACACACGACGCCGACGACGCCTCTCAGTCTCTGAGTCTCCCTGCCCCGTCTTCGTACGGCAGTCTCAGCTTTCGTCCTTTTCGATTCCATGGTAAAACCTGCAAAGACTCGCACTTTGGGGGGCGACGGTAGCAAAGCTTGGGACGCTTGCCCCTTCGGGCCTCGCCATGCAGCCCAGAAGAGCCTCCTGGATCGATAGATCTCTGCCTTCCTCTGGCCAGCCTCCCGGAAGAGACGAATTTCCCCTCCCACGACACATCTCACGGCAAGGGCGCGCACCCATCTTCTGATGATACTCCGCGTTCGAAAGGCTTCCAGGAAGGCTGCAGCCTTGCAAGTGGTGTCTTGGGATGTGTTGGGCGTCACAGCTGACTTCGCCGAAGCGGTCCAATTGCAAGGGGGAGTGCCGGACAGAGTCTGAGCTCTCAGCCGATCGTGCGGAAATGCTGCGCCGAGCAGCAGCTCGCCAAACTTTACAAGCTTTGCACCTGACCACATAAACACCAGTGTCTGGAGCCTGCAAGAAGCTCAAAAAACCGAGCACAGGACCCCAGAGCCGTGCACTTTCTTGTGACGAGGATCGACAAAGACTGTGCTCTCCTGGCAGATCAGACAGGGCGACAGCAGCTGGAGCGGCTGTCTTCAGTGTCAGCATGTGTCAGCGATAGTCTTTGGTTTTGAATCCATGGCGGGCATTCTTGAGCTTTGGCCCGTTGTGAAACAACAAGAGACTCTCGGCAAGCGCATCACGCATCGAAAATAGCCGCCTCAGGGCCTGATCGCGCCTGAGTCTTGGAAGAAGCTTGACTGCATCCGTCATCGTGTCGGTCACATCAAACCAGCACCGTGCCTCGTCTAGTAGTTCAGGCAGCCACTTCTCACAGCCGGAAAGATCCGGCGCAGGGAGCACCGCTCTTCCTGGTCAAGGGGTGGAGAACCCATCGTCGTCGGCAAATGTAGCTAGCCGTTAACGCCGGTCCTGTGCCGTTTGCCTCTGTGTTTGGGCTTGAGGTCGGCAGCGTGGCTTCTTGCTTCCACAAGCGGATTTCTGCCAACACCTAGGCGGACAAATAACAGCAGCTGTCACAAGCTGCACGATGCGGTGCCAAGGGGCGTACGTGCTGCATAAGTTCAGGGTCACTGCGAGTTGCGTCAGCGTCGTTTTCTAGACGCTCCAGCAAAGTGCGCACTTTGAAGGAGACGTCCTTTTGGTTTATGAGGAACGGCCTTGGTTCTCGCACGTCCACACCTCCGCGCGGCTCTTCGACATTTGGAAGCTGAGTTACACGATGTCCAGGTACTGGCTGGAGAAAAGCAGCATGTCTGCCACCACGGAGAACTCGCGTACGCGCAAGGCCATGTCCTTGCTTCAAGCTGGAAGTGTCGCACAGCTTGAATGAATCGACAGATCTGAGAGTCGTGCCAGGCTGGCTTGAGTTGCCCATGACCTTTCCTTTGTGCTGTGCCGCGCCAGGTCTTTGAGCCGGAACACTAGCTCCGGAGAATCCAGCAGCACCTGGACGTGGGACCACACCGTCCAACTCGGTAAGGAACTGCACAATTGAAAGCCCATTCACACGAGGAGCTGCTGCAGCGTGCACGGGCTGATTCACACACTTGACGGCGGATTCACGCACAAGGGATTCACGCATTGACGCATGGGATTCACGCACCAGCAGATTTGCACGCAGGCCGCGATGTTTGCAAATTCGGGACCAACCCAATACGACCCAAAAAACCAAGACCCCAAACCTCAAACACCCCCAAACCCTCAATGCCGTAAAGTCTGTAACCCTAAACACCAAACCCCTAAAAGCACAAACCAACCTGAATCGTCACAAACCAAAAAACACTTTGGGGCAAAATCTCCTGGGTCGGGCTCTGCAGTCGCGTGTGCTTGGATCGTGGGCGCTTAGAACATTTTGCTCCAATCGCAAATGTCTTTAGCGTGTGCGCTTGAGCCGTGCGTGCTTGAATCGCATGCTTTCATCGCTGTGCTTGAGGTGTGGCCAGTGCTCAATTCGTGCTTGAACAGGTCCAAGTTCGTAAGCCCCGCACATGGTAGTGCAAGAGCTGCTGCAGCATGTGCTCCTGCCTCAGCTTAAGGCTGTAACACTGTTCAGAATCCATGTCATGATCTCACCGTCGACCATCACTCTTACGCACCTGAAGTACACGCACAGGTCGAAGACGAAGCATTGTAGAATTTTGTGGGGCAGGATCTGGAGGCCTAGCAGGCTGCGAAGGTAGGAGATCACAACGGAGAGGATGTAGGGGCTCTCCTTCGGAAGGTCTTTGTTCTCTCTGGCTTCAAACGGAATATGCCAGTCGGCCAGGTTGAAGGGCTCCGCCGAAGGCGCAAACCCCTCCCCTTCCAGACCTTCGCTCCCAATGAAGTGTGGGTAGAACACCTGTGTGACCATGTCCTTTTCAGATAGCATAGATTGGTACGTGATTTGAGCCTCCAGCTCTTGGAGAGAGATGCTTGCGCGTACTCCGGCACCGGAACAGCGCTGAGACATAGATTCGATCACTTGCCGATACGCAGAGTTGAGCACCTGGAAGCCCTGCAGGAGCTCTGCAGAGCGAGTTCTTGCAGCCAGAGCTTTCCGAAGTGTCTGCACTACATGTTCTCTGCAGCCGGTGCGCCGCAGCAGGAGCTTCAGGACGAGACTTACATCAACCGGAGCCTGCGCAAGAAACTGAGCTAAAATTGCCCCCATATTCAGGTGCAGTTGATGGACTGTTCCTGCTCCCGAATCCAGCACGACGCCACCAGACAGGTAATCCCAGTCTAGCCATGCAGACCGCGAAGGCTGTTTCGTCTGCTCCACCCCTTGCTGGCAGACCAATCTGGGAACAGAGTCGCCATCCTTGTGGCGAATGTCGTAGACCGATGCGACCATCCTGCAATGTCAAACACGCCGAAGGCTACGACGGCTCAATGAATGCTACTGCAAGTGGCTTGAAGGCCTAGGCCCTAGGCTTGGCTAGGCTTGGCAATTGGCCCGAACATACACAAATCAGACAGTGTGAAGACGTGGCGTGTCCTCTCCAGACAGTGCACGATCAGAAGGTTGTCAACAACAGACAAGCGGAGCGGACCAAGCGGCGTGTCTTGGTCGGAGATGTCTATCACAATGTCGTGCTCGGGAGTTCCCTTTTCCAGATTCGTAACGTTGCGCAGGGAGACTTTCCCGTTTGATCCATCTGCATGGATGCAGTAGGTACAATCATAAATAGTCATGAGAGCGACATCTCCAGGCTCGATAGATTGGCCACGACCCAGAACCAAGTCAAATCGAGGAAGTTTCGCATTCCGCCGCCTGAAATCAAACGGCTGCAGAGTTCGAGCACCTGTACAAACCAGGGTCGTCGCTGCGGAAGGCTCCAGCCAGCAAACTCTCACTGGGGTAGGAAATGTACGCTGGGACTTCGCTGCTCGTTGCTCGAAGCTGAGGCGGAAGACTTCAATGCCCTGACTCGTGACGACAGCCAGGTCACTGGCATCTTGCCTTATCTTCGTGCCGGTCACAACGGACAGATGACCGTGTATTCATGTACGTAAGCCTGAGCCACCGGAGCCGAGGCACTCTCCGGGCAACCAGAAGAATGCTAGGATCTCGAAGTCCGACTGGACAGGAAGAGTCTGTGACAAGCGCATCCGCTGACAAGCCATTTTCCTTCGGATCAGTCTTTGACACGTTCATTGTGCTCCTCCCTCTGTTCTGCTCCGGCTCCTGGGCTCGACCTCCTCCCCTCCTGCTTCCCTCCCCCTCCCCCTGCCCCTTCCCCCTAAAATTCTAGACCCCCCCAGGCGGTCAGGACTTGCAGTCATGTCACGTACCTTCAGCAATGGCGTAACACTTGCATGTGCGCGCCGTAGCCGTTTCTGTCTCAAGCGGTTTCAAGACACAAGCTCTCTCTGCGTGTAGCAAAACCAACTGTGTTGTCCGCATGCAAGGGCAAGCCTTTAGATCCTCAGATATCATACCTGCGGAACGGTGTAGGTCGGTCTCTGTGCGTGGGGGTGGGTGTGGGTGTGGTGTGGGCGTGGGCGTGGGCGTGGGCGTGGGCGTGGATTTGGGGTGTGGGCATCCGGGGTGTTGGCGTGGGCATGGGTGTGTGTGGCTGTGGGTGTGGACGTGGGTGTGGTGGGTGTGGTGGGTGTGGTCGGTGTGGTGGGTGTGGTGGGTGTGGTGGATGTGGTGGGTGGGGTGGGGATGAAAATGGGGGTGGGGGTGGGCCTTGCAGCCATCACGCCATGGTTTGCAGACATGCAAGACCCCAAAATCAACTGAAATGATATTTGGCAGAGGCTTGTGAATCTCGTGGCCTTGTTGCTCCACTTGCTTGATGGCCAGATCGGCTGCAGACTGGGCCTCGATGCTCGATACGCGCGTCTCAGCTAAGCAACAACTTGGAACTGGGGTACCGACTGCATTGTTCGCAGGCATCCGATGCGCTTCTCGCTCAGAAAGGCGAAGAAGAGCCCGTCAGGAGAGAACCGCACGGATCGCACATCATGCTCCAAAGCTACGTTCAGCCCATCTGGAGGAGATGCCGATCGGTCCCTGTCGATCACATCTGCTGTGATAAAGCCACCCGGCTTGATATGCACGATCCTCGGTTTCGAACACAGAAGTCAAACAAGCTTTGCCCCTTCGTTGCTGCCTCAAAGTACATCCTGTGAGTGCAAGAGGAGACGCTGACATGTTTAAGACGCCATGAGCCACATTTAGCAGGATGGGCAAAGATTTGCTCCGCTCCGCACTGATGGGTCTAAGTCTAAGTCCCACACCGTCGGTGTGCCTCGTCGAAAGTGAGGAGCTCACTGGCTTCTGGCTGCCAGCGATAGACGGGATCCGACAGCTCCAAGGGCTTCTCTTGGCCCATAACACAACCATTCAGGGCAGGAGCGTAAACACCTCGACTGTCTGTCACTACAGCTGCTGGCATGACAGGGCTCTGTGAAGTCTAGTGCCTGGGCATGCCGTGCTTTGGTCGACAAGCGATTCTTCCGGATGCCACTGCAGCAACCGGCACTTGACTTCGTAATCGGGCCGAAAGCGAAGGCACGAAGAAGCTGACGGAATTGTGCAAAAAGTAGGAAACCATCGTGTCTTTACGGAGCTACAAAAACATGACAAAGCCACCTTTGCTCCCGACGCGCGAGGCTGCTCCAGCCATTAAGCCATCGCCTCAAACCTGGCACGGGACACAAGGAAGCACCGCTCGCATGGGTGCCTGCCTTAGGTGCTTTCCTGTCAACAAGTTTGGCGGTAGTGCGCGTGGCCGTGAGGAAGGCGCTCAGTGCAGTCGCACCTGGAAGCTGGTCCAAGGGACGCGGTGGAGGCGGATGCGAGGCTCTCGCCGCGACGACGAAGCGCCCCCTTTGCTCCACGCAGCCTGAGGGTGGACTCAAGAAGATGTAGAACCAGGCAGAAATGCACAAGAGCTGCCTCCAAACACCAAGGGCTCGTCGAACACGACTTTGATGGCGCGCATCCACCCAGAGATCAATTGCCTCTGGAGAAGTCGGGGAGGCTAGAGCCCATCCCGGAAGGTCACCTGCCTGCGAAATGCGGTGGGTTCTCGCTGAACTCCACCGCCTGTGCTCTCGAAGAGCTCCAAAGCTTCTCCTCGCCAGTGCCTCGCAGCAGAACACCGCTTTTCTGCAATGAAGGGCAGCGCCGGTTCTCATGTCTGTGATAGACAACACGTTTATGGATCTAACCGGCCGAAGCGGTGCATGATCGTTTTGCCCAAGCGCGGCAGTGCAGAGGGTCCAACGAAGCTGGTAGCTACACACTTAAACGATGATGAGATCTTTCTCCTTGTAATCTGGATTCCTACCTTTGTAGGCATCAAAAAGCTCCTTGAGCTTCTCACAATAGATCTCGTGCCACTTCTGAATGTCTTCCTCAGGTGCACGCCACTGTCGATAGCAAAGCTCCTCTTGAAGAAGCAAAGAACCTCTACGGCAAGAGGTCGCAAACCAGCGGCACCTGCAACCAACAGAACACCTGCAAAGGCGTCTTGTCCCCGAGAAGCCGTGCTGAGTCGAGCTGGCCCGACTGTGAACGAGTTGCCAGTCGCCCGGAGCTCCGAAACCCCACCTCCTTCCCCCGGTCGCCACGGAACCCAAGCACAACTCAAGACCGAAGACCGATTGTGCACAAGGCTCTGGCCAGGGAACTGCGTTGAAAAGCAGGCAAGCAGCTACCGAGCAATCCGTGATGAAGCTACTAGTCGGGCCATTGTGCAAAAGCACTCCCTCCTGCGCACTATCTCTCATCTGAGGCGCAGCAGTCGGATTCGAGATGTGTGGCATCCCCAGCGGCCTCCCACGAACATACGTCAAGGGCCTCAGCCGAGTCGGGCACTTGTACCTCGCAAGCCTGGCCTTGGTGCAAGGGTCCCCGCTATCTCTCCACTCACCTGACCCCTTCTGGCTTGATGTGTTTCGAACGTTCTGTCTCTAGCGGTAGAAGACACCTCCCCCGAATGCTCTAACTCAGGGAGCACGCGGACGAGTGCGATGTCGCTAGCGACTGGACTGATGCGGTCAAGTTGCACGGCCTTCGGCACAGGCAAGCCGAATCTTCCCCAAAACACGGTTACCTGGGCTGGCTCGGCTCGGGTCGGCTCGGCTTTGCCCTTGAGTTCTGTTCTGCCACAAGACGGAGATCCCCAACGCGCGGCTCAGCGATGCAAGTGGGCCCCAGGTCAACGCCGACAAAACGGTGGTGTTCCTGGGGGACCGTTGTGTCTGGATGACAACTTTGAAGAGGTCCGTCAACAGTGTTGTCGTTAGGCTTGATACCAATACTAAACATCATGAAAGATTGCTGTCGTCCTGATTTCAACTGATATACGTAACCCTGGGCTTTTCCGAGCAAGACCAACAAGTGCTCTAAAACCTGGCTCGTATATGTTGCCGAACTGTGGCCACGAGTGAAGGCTCGGTTCTTCAAGAAGGATCAAGAAAGTGTGGTGGGTAGAGATTCGCTTCTAAGCAGTGGTTACTATTGAAGCTACGACAACAAAATGTGAAGCACTGAGCTGTTCAGAGGTGTCTGAGGTTTGGCATCGTTGTGTGCAAAGCTGGCTGCAGCCTAGGATTCCCGAACATGTAGACTGGAATCACATCTGCACCAGTGCGCAGGGCGAGTTTGATGAACCTGTGCAGACATGCTACTCAGCAGATGCTCATGTGCGCATGACGAAGCGACCTCACAAAATGGCTCTGGACATAGGCAAGCAGCCCGGCTCGCTGCTTCAAGTAGACGGCCTCCTTCTTGGGGCTGGAGGAAAAAAGCTCGACAATTCCACCCACGTAAAGAATGACCACTCCTTGCAGGGTTGTTTGGGCCACAGAAACAGAAGAGACAAGAGGTGGTTCATGAAGGACTGCAGCAGGATGCGGTAAATGTGCAACAAACGCCATGGCACGACAAGGTTGTGGGGGGCCAACTGCGACTACGCCAGCAGGAGAGTCTTGGAAACTTGGTTTGTCAGTGAAACTCTGCAGTGTCTCTTCTGACCATCTATGCATAGCTGGAATGTGCGATGCATTTTTTGACTTCGACTGTACGCTGTGGGCTATTCGGGCTCCCCACTCACGCACAAACACAAAGAATGGAGTACGTGGAATGCTGTGACCCTAGCGCAGTTTGTCTGCCAACAGAGATGCCACATCGTAAACCAGAGGGCCTCTGCTTCAAGCACCAGAAAACTCGTAAAGGGAAAGAAAAGTTCAACGACAATGTTGTCGCATTGAGGTTCTTCGCTTGGCTTCACCCTTTTCCCGAATGCTGTTACACATCTGAGCGTGTGCACATGCTTCCACTGATTTGTTGTAGCCGACGGATTGGACGCATGCAACTGACCATTTTTACGACAGTGCAGTACAGTGCACCCATGACTTTAGAGTCGGTGTGCGCGCGCAGGAAACACACGCTCACACACAGACACAAGACAAACACACCACAACAGCTTCGTCGAAAGTGCCGTGCCAACATACCCAGACACTGCACAGAACCAGGTCTGGCTTGTCGTGGAGTACATGGGAAGAAGATGCAGAATGCAACGAGCACCTAATACACCCGTACAGGAGGAATACTCCGATGCCAAAGCCAAGCTCAAGCAGTGGATAAGGGTAGCGTCCGAGTCCTTCTCAGTCTCAGGCCCTAAATCCTTACTACAGCCTGACAGGCCCGGCCTCTGGCTTTCGTCAGCCTTTTGAACAAGGTGGCGCTGCTTGCGTCCTGAGTGCGATGCTTTGAGATCTTTGAGATGCTTTGATGCCATGTCTCAGGCACCCAACTCATCAATGCAGGCCATGGGTCGATCAACCCAAACATTCCAACGACATCTTTCAGGATCGGAAAATACTTGACTATGGATGCGGCAGCCGTCGGAGCTTCCTCTGTCAACAGGAAGCTCGGGGGCCATTGCTTGATTATACCATGTCACACCACCAAGACGATTTTACATTCTGCCTGCTTTGAGTTGCGCTGCATTTCAGCACACTTGGAAACCGTCATGCACTGACAGCTCGAGGTGCCTTTGCCAGTGCCGCACCGAAGCCATCCACCGCATTCTGTGTCGCAACCTGGACTCCAGATGCTGCTTTGCTGCTCATGCGCGCATATCCTTTGCCAATGGGGCCCATGCGGCAGCGCAGACAGCAGTGAAGGGAAAGATGCCGTGAGGATGTGCTCCGACGATGAAGCTTCGAGACCCTGCGCGGACCTCACCTTGAAAAACGGAATCGGGTGGCATTGCCACTTTGTATTTGTTTTAAACGCCCGCTGCATTCACAACAAGGACCAAGCCGAAACCTGCGCAAATTTTGAAAAGGTGGCCAAACGGCTCTCGCTCGTTCGCTCCTGCTGCCATATAAATTACTCGCAAGCCATTGCGAGGACCCCGAACTCGCAAACTCCCAGTGGCTGTCCAAAGTTTCGTGGTACTCCTCGTAGTCGAAATACTTCGGCACCCTCAGCATCATGCAGAGGGCACTTCGGCCATTCATGCCAGCCGCGCTACAAACAATCTTCTTGCCGAGAAAAAGTTTGGAAAAGTGGCTGCTGCATCGGCCATGATGTGAGCACAATGTGCCCTAAGCGTTCTATCACATAGTCCGGAGTCAGAAAAGACAAGAGAAGCCTCGGCGTAAACAGCACTCGTCCAAGTAAGTGTTGGTTCAACAACCGCACAGGCACAGGCAAGATCTGCCTGCAAGTCTCGGCGACAGCAAAGCCCACGAACCCATCCAAAAAGGATATCTGAGCAGGGACACGACGCATGCACCCGCCTCAGCTCACAGAAGGCAGGCAAAACAAAGCCTGCATGTACCGGGAACTTCGGAACTGCAACCGAAGGTCGTAAAGCGGGGCAATCACATACACGAGCGACCAAAGGGAAGCTGCCAGAAATCCGACAAGCCGTTCCTCAGCAGAGGCAATGCAGCATGTTTAAGGCTGCCATCCTGAGAAGTAGCTTACTAGCAAACGCTGGTTAAAACTCTTGCATCAAGGGTCCGCCTGCGTCCCTCCTGTGAAGGATCTCGTGGGTTTGTCTAGTGCCATGGCGTAGCTGCACGCTTCCGGTTTGGCACACGGGTCCTACCCTGGACTGCTGAGGCTTATCGACTGAGTCTGCGAGCTTATGGGAGTCGTTGACTATCAACAAGAATGACCATGACCGCCGTCGCTTCGGCACTACAGTCTTTCTGCTGGCATGAAATGCCACAAGGCATGAAGCAAGCCTCGGCATGCACCAGCCGAAGTACTATGTCAGCGAGCAGATACAAGTGCCTGGTAGCGAAACTGGATGCACACCTCACGAAGCAAATTCCCTCGACTACTTCTGCAGCCACACATGCACAAACCACATCCGAGGCCTGTCATGTTTGGTCAACAACGTAACCCCAAAGCTCGGGCGGCAACGTTCCTCACGAGCCGTCTGGCGCTGCTCCCCGCTGCCAGTGCGCGCCAGAGAGAGAGAACCCTGCAGCTCACAGATTCGACATGCCTTGACAAGTCCAAGTCGGAACAGGCTTCGTCGCACCTTCTCACAGACCGCAATCTATACCATCTCAGTGGTGTCAGTCGTGTGACTTGACGACAGTAAGTACAAAAAAAAATGAGGCGCTGGCTCACGGACTCCGGAAGTTGAACCTTGCTTGGGCCGACGTCGAGTCGTTTGAGTCGCAGGTGTGGATATCCATTGAGGCGTTCGCGGAGGCTGAGCTGCCACTGCAGCCACTGAGGCATGTCCTCCTGTTGTGAGGAACAGCCAGAGCAAGGAGCAGCATCATCAAAGAGTAAGGGGCACCTCTTCTTCGGCGGACGCTGCCGGAACGGAAGAAAGTGAGCACAAAGAGCCGGCAAAAGGATGTTGTGCGTCCGCATCCAAGTTGGAACGAGCCTGCTGACATGCCAAGCGATCAATGGTTCCACTCAAAAACACATGTCAAACAGAAACCCGCCACATCCATGGCCAATCGGAATCTAGTTAACGACTTGCCGGAAGACTGTAGAGCTGAGCGTGCCGAAGTCTTTCGAAACATGCTGCAGGTCGCACACCGCGCAGGTCGGGAGCGAACGGGATGGATAAGTAGGTGTACCATGCCGGGCAACTGGCCCCGAAAGCGAGCCAAGCTCCATACAGAGCGTGCTATTCCTGATGCTGCTGCTGCACTAGTAGTAGTAGTAGTAGTAGTAGTAGTAGTAGTAGTAGTAGGCACGCCCCCCCCCTACCAACTACACTTGCTCTTAGCCATGTTAAGACAACATCCATTTTACTTGGTATTTACAGCACTTTCGTCA